GGCGATGCCACTGGGTGCACTAACTCAGAGCGAGTTGCTCGATGCTCCCCTCGTGAGAAAAAGTCACTACAAAATCTCCACTCAGCGGAGATTTTTTCCGTTTTCTTGGGGAGTACCCCCTTGTATACACACACTATGTACATAATGTACATAGTTTTGATGGAGAATATTTTATATGTATATAGACATAAAATAGACAGATATACATAGACATATGTCTCCCTGGATGTAGCTCCACTTTCCCTCCCACATCCATTCAGCTTGTGTGTCTGTCCATGTATCTGTGGGTAGATCACTGTGATTGCATGAAAGTATTTCCCACTGTTGTCTTTCACATCTACACTCCACTAGTGTCTTCCCCTGCCTACTTTGTCTTCTGCTATTTATGTATTTTCATGTACATTTGAGAGCATAGTTATGCCATGTATTGTTCCTGGCTTTTTTTTTTCTTCAGTGATGAGCTTCTAGGTTTTACATTATTCATGATTCTAGGTTTTACATTAAGGTATTTGGTCCATTTTGAATTCATTTTTGTGTATGGTGTGAGATAAGGTCCTGTTTCATTTTTCTGTCAATGGATACCCAGTTTTGCCAGTCCCATTTGTTGGAGAGATTATCTCTTTTCCATCTAAGGTGTTTTGGCCATTTATCAAAGATCACCTGTAAATAGATCCATTGTACAAGTACTAGACTGTTTTGACTACCAAGAGTGTGTGATAAGCTTTGAGATCAGGAAGTGAGAGGTCTCCTCTACTTTTTTTGTTTTGTTTTGTTTTGTTTTTAGTAGGTTTTGCTTGTCTGGGGTCTCTCTCCTTTCCATATGTAGTAATTGGATGATTTTATGTCAATTAGACATTCCTTTCTGGCTAGGGGTGTAGTTAAACCTTTCAATCAAGTGTAGCTTGATAATACCTCCTTGGGGTGTGGCCTTTTGTATGAGAGTGAGGGACTCTGGGAACTGCTTCTCTTTGCCACTTCACCGTCTTCCTTCCTGGGACCTCACTGGAATTCTGTGTCTGTCATGTGAGCCACCCGACCCCAAGAATTGTCAGCGCCCTGCCATGCTTCCACCAGCCTTAGACCCATGAGATTGTGCCAACTGACCTATGACCTCCCTGCTTTCTGCTTCACCTTTCTGTGTCATTGGCCTGCAGCTCCCCAATCTGAAGAGGACCCGGCTAGCATCAGATCTATGGACTTAGTTGAACTGGACTGGGGTGCCTTCTTGATGTAAAGTTGCTTCTTAAAATAAACTTCTTTCTGGCATATAGATGAGTGGCATTGGTTTGTTTCTCTAGACAGCCTGGCCTGACACATCATCTAAAGTTGGTGACTAGATTTTCCTTCTCTTGATAAAACAGTGTTGGAATATGAATCTAGATTGCATTATATCTGTAGATCACTTTGGGTAGTACTGACATTTTCACGATGTTAAGTCTTCCTATCAGAATGATAGGTTCTTCCTTTTATGTTGTTGTTGTTGTTGTTGTTAGATGTTATTGAGTCAGTTCCAATCCATAGCAACCCTATAAACAACAGAATGAAACACTGCCTGGCCCTGCGCCGTGCTCACAAGGGTTCCTTGAGCCCATTGTTGTAGCCACTGTGTCAGTCTATCTTGTTGAGTGGTTTCCCCTTTTCCTCTGCCCCTCTACTTTATCAAGCATGCAGCCTGTCCTCCAAGGACCATTGTCTTCATACAACATGTGTACAAAATATGTAAGGCGGAGTTTGAATTTCCTTGCCTTTAAGAAGCTCTCTGGCCAAACTTCTTCTCAGACAGATTTGTTTACCTCTTCTCAGTCCATTGTACTTTCAATAGCTTTCACCACCACCATAATTCAAACACATCGATTCTTCTCTTTTCCTTATTCAATGTCCAACTCTCATAAGCCTATGAGATGACTGAAAATACTATTGTTTGGGTCAGTCGCACCTTAGTCCTCAAGTAACAGTCTTACTGTCCAAGAGTCTAAAGAGGTCTTGTGCAGCAGGTTTTCCCAGCACAGTGCCTGTTTGATCTCTTAACTGCTGCTTCCGTGAGCATTGATTGTGGATCCACGGTAGACAAAATCCTTCACAACTCAAATGTTTCTCCATTTATCAAGATGTGAACTATTGGTCCCGTTCTGAGGATTTTGGTCTCCTTGACAGGTGTCATCCACACTGAAGACCGCAACCCTTCATCTTCATCATTAGGTGCTTCAAGCCCTCCGTACTCTCATCAAGCAGGGTTACATCATCTGCATAGAGCAAGTTGTTAATAAGTCTTCCTATCTGGATGCCACATTTTTCTTCATATAATCCACTCTCTCTAATTATTTTCTCAGCATACAGATTGAATACATATAGTAAGAGGACTCATCCCAGATGCCCACCTTTCCGGATTTTAAATCTTTCTCTTGACACAACTGCCTCGTGATTCACATACAAGTCCTTCGTGAGAACAATGAAGTGTTCCAGAATTCCCCTTCTTCTCAAGGCTACCCATAGTTTGTTATGATCCACACAATGGGTAATGCACACATTTAGAAGCTCCCTTCATTTCTTGCAGCAGTATTTCATAGTTTATTTGTATAGGTCTTTTGCCTCTTTGGTTATATTAATTCTTCAGTATCATCTTGTGGATGGCTTTTCTAAGTGCTATGTTCCTGAGGTCCTTGTCAGAGCTCTCTTTGTGAGGAATCTGATTTTTTATATGTTCATCTTGTAGCCTGCCACTTTTCAATTCATTCTAATAACCTTCTTGTCCAGTTTTGGGGATTTTCTGTGTATGGTGTAATATCAGCTGCCAATGGGGAGAGAATTTACCTGACTTTCTCGTCATTCGGAAGTTCTGTGACTAGACGACTCTCCCTATTCACTTTGCAGTTGCCTTCATTTCAGATTAATAACTCTGATTCCCTATTTTCAATCTTATAAGTTTGTGTTCCTTTCACCAGGGCTCCTAAGGAAGGAGAAACAGAAGGAGTGGAAAAGTGGGAACTCCCAGGAGCAGGGAGCGAGGAGCAGCGGGGAAGGAGGATGGCTTAGGCAACTTGTCATTTTTCCCGAGTTGCTCATATGATTCTTTCCTGGGTTTTGTTGTTGTTGTTGTTTTCGATATGTCTTGGTGATTCTCTTTTGGAGTCTGTATTCTTTGGGGTTTTTTCAGTTTCTTGAACTCAGTCTCTTCTCATCCTTCAAGACGATGCCTGATGACCCCTTAGAAGTTCGTCTTACCAACATATTATCGCTGAGGTCATATTTTATTCTTTCCTCTGTTTAGCAAATATTTGAATTTTTCCCTTTTACTTCAGTATGGGACTTAGTGCTAGAGCAGCCCTTTAGCCTTTCCATGACCAAATTATTTTCTGCTTTGAGTTTCTTACTGATGCCATGTGTTTCAGTAATGTAAAACCAAATGCCAAAACCAAACTTGCTGCCATCAAGTCAGTGCTGACTCATAGTGGCCCTTTGTGGGTTTCCAAGACTGTAACTGTTTTCAGGAGTAGAAAGCCAGTCTTTCTCCCGCAGAGCTGATGGTGGTTTCAAACAGCTGACCATGCAGTTTGCAGCCCAATGAGTAACCACTAAACCACCAGGCTCTGTACTGAAATGAAGGAAAAATATTTTTTATAGGTGCTATGGATTTTATGAGGGATACACATATCCCCAGTGGACTCTGGTGGTAGGATTGGTAGGTGAGACCCACTTCTTTAGATTCATACAGTTACACAAAGCCCCGACAGGCAGTGGCATGTGCTACACCCGGGACGGCAGCTTCCCAAGAAGCCTAAAAGGATGAAAGTGTTGGTGGGTGATATGTGTCCCACAGGTCACAAAAGGCTACTATATAGCAACAACAAAGCTTAGACTAAGGACACCTTAAATAATAAAATTATGGTCTTGTCTTCTTTTAATTGGACTAGAGTTAAAACTTCTTTCCAGAGAGAAGTTTGCAGATCTAGTGATGGGTGTGCTGAAGAAGAAAATACAACTTGTGGTCATGGGCATGAACCCAGTACTCATAATGTGGGCATTGAGCTAGTCCTCACCTGCCCACTCTTCCATCATCTTCACCAGGCACGCACACAACACTCTCTTCAGCCCCAGCCGCCTGGAGCTGGACCAGAATTCGTAAGTCAGAAGGGTACCTTCCTTCTGACCAGCTCTCCATGTAGCCCTTCTCTGATTTTAGCTACTTAGAACGAGGTCAGGTGTCACAAGTTCAAAGGACGTCATCCTTCAGACTGCCAAATCGGCAGATGTCAGCTTTCAATTTGAAGAGTCCACATGACGCCACAACCTTCTGCCTCACCGGCTTCCAGTCCCCCTTTGGGTTCAATAATTCACTGGATCAGCTCACAGAATATCAGGGGGATCACACCATCCTTAGGGCTATAGGTTGATTAAAACCTAATCGGATGCAAATGAAGAGATGAAGGCTGGGAGGCTTTCCCACATAAAGCTTCCATCTCCCAAGGGACGTGCTGCCCTCCCCTGGAGCAAATATTCTCACCAACCAAGAAAACCTCCATGTTCAGGGTCATAACAGGCCTCAACACATGCTCCTGGTAGACAACACAGTTCTCGTGAGGCCGGTCAATGCTTGGCCACCACTCATTCGCTTCAGGTGTGCTTTAGCTTCCACAGACTGAGAACGGAGGTCCGATTGCTTTCTGCAAAACGAGTCCACAACACGCCTGGCTGATTCCAGTTCTGTGTTCTGAGTCCCGCTGAATGCTGATGCTGTCCGTTTCAAGGGCTGGTTTTAATAACATGCTGTGGATTTTGTTTTTGTGTTGCGGTTACAACAGGTAGAGTGGGACCCTCTGCTATTAGAGGTCCCTCCCCGAACTCAGTTCAGTTACACAGTCACCAATCTGACTGGCGGCCCGCAGCCACATTCTCCTTTCGACGATCAATACCAGAAGGTCACACTGAAGGTGAGTCGAGCTTCGGTGGCTTCCTCGGGGCGGGGTTCATCATGTTGCTGGGCCTTTGAGTCTTACCTCTTTTCTCTCCCATCCCAGGGGGGCATGGCCGCGGGGCAGCTGACCAGGGTGGGCATGCAGCAGATGTTTGCCCTGGGAGAGAGGCTGAGGAAGAACTACGTGGAAGCAGTCCCTTTTCTTTCACCAAACTTCAGCCCCCAGGAGGTCTTGTGAGTTACTCGAAAAAGCGGTGGTCTTAAGCTTGAGGATTAACTAACTCCTAACTCTTCCCAGACGGTCCCCCGGAAGGACTTTGGGGGTCCACGAGAGGTTGTCCCGGTGCAGTTGGTGCAATCGCCCTCATGGAAGAGGCGGTCACTGGAGTTCCCACTCCTTGGCCTTCAGGAATTCCCTTGGGGCATCATTCCACAGAGAGAACCTTTCGTCCCAGCCCCTCACATAGTCGTGGAAGCCTCCTGCCGGCTCTGAGGGATAAGGGAGAGTGTACGTAGCTGAATCTTCCCTTTCTAAGTGTCTCTGCCTTTTTGGTTTTTCCCCAGCATCCGTTCCACTAACATACATCGGAACCTGGAGTCTACTCGGTGCTTGCTGGCTGGGCTTTTCCAACGTCAGAAAGGTTTGCGTTTGGGTTCCAAAAGCTGCCTCCATGGAGTCTGTCCTTCTTCCTTCCAGAGGCCAGCCCTCTCTCCCTTGCCTCTGCCCCTGTGGTGACCATGGTGCACCTACTCTAGTGGGCCCTTTCCTACCTGGCCTTACACTGCCCTCACCAGCTTGACCTCCACATCAACTGCTCCCACATGCCTCTGGCTCTTGATTTAGCCTCTCAAGCTCCTATATGAGCGGCATAAGGCAGCCCTCACCCGGCCTTAGGAACAATGTAGGGAGCTTTTTAGCCCGGCTGGACCCTGCTGAGAAGGAGGAAGGCCAGTAGGGACCCGTAGCTGGGAACCACACCTGCTGCTGCAGCTCTGCTCTTGGTGCGGATCCACAGCATGATCCAGAGGGTCAGAGCAGGATCCAGTCCAGTCTTTCCTAGTTGAGAACGTCTGTTGTGTTGGGGGTTGGTAGATCTAGCTAGTGAATGATCACAGTAATGGCTCCCTATCAGGAACCACGGTTGTTATCTTCCCTCCTGGATCCCACATACTGAAGGCTTTTGACTGTCCGGTGAAGCTGCATTTTGCCATTTTCAACTGATTCAAATTTACATTTAACTGCTGGTCTGAGTTTCCATTCAGTAGGACCTCACCAATGTTAAAATACCAAAATGGAAAAACAAAAACAAAACCAAAATGGTACCACGAGGCAAAGATTCAAATTACTCTCTTTAGCTGTAGCATCAGTAATCTCAACTAGCTAGACCATTTCCATCAGACTTTTAAAATAAAGGGACTTTCAGGGTAAGAGGAGGCAGGCCATATCCCTGTCTAGATTGGGTGTTACTGCTAATTCTGGCTGCAGTTGGCCAGCGAATATAAATAGTATCTCTCAGACAAACGGGATGGGCTGCTCCTTAGTCCTGGGAGCCCCTGAGCTAAGGAGTGGCCCACATGCCTGATCTCTAAGTGTTTGCTCAGATGCTAAAAGGCATGTGCTCAGAAACAACACAAGTGTGACTGGAATGAGGTTTCTGGGCAGCGGCCTGAACCCAGGTCCCCAGCAAGGGAGGAAGTGGCACCCTAACCAGCCTCCCATGTGGCTGCCTTGAGAGCAGCTCCCTGCACCGGTGCAGAGATCCCGGGGCCCCAGTTTGACTTCTGTCGTAATGATGCTCATGCTTATCAAGGAACTTGAAGAGACCCAAAGGACCCCGGAAGGTGCTACCATCATGGAAGTGATGCAACTGGGAATGTTGCTTCATGAATGAAAATTGTTGAGAAGTCACAGGATTCTATGTAAGCTGCACGAAGCAAGGTGCAGGGAGGCTAGCAACTGCTGGCCTGCCCCACTCGGTCAGTCAGTCAGTTCATTGAATGGATAGTTGTCTTCTCTGTGCACACTATGGATCCAGATACTATGGATCCAACGGCAGACTTCAGGCAGGTGCCAATTAATAGAAACATGTCTACTTGTGTTTTATTGACTGTACAAAAGCATTGGACCGTGTGGATCACAACAAATGAAACACCCGAGGTAATGTCTCACTGGGTCTAGGGGGTCAAGAGCAGAGCTTTAGAGACATCAAGTTCGATTGGCCTAATATAGTTCTCAAAGACGATGTTCCACCCCCTGCTTGGGGGAATAGCAACTAGAGTCTTAAGCTCATGAGCAGCCATCTAAGGCGCTATTGATCCCTCCTTGTCTGGAGCAAAGAAGAAGGATGGAAATTGAAAGACATGGAAGCAATTTAGTGCAATGGCCTAATGGACCATGCAGACGTAAGCCCCGAGTCCAAAAGAATTAGAGGGTCCCTGGCTCCCACTACCAAGTTCTCTGAAAAGAATAAAATCGGCTATCCCTTGTGGGGTAGTGGTTATTAGTTGGGCTGCTATCCAAATAGATGGCAGTTCGAAACCACCAGCAGCTCTGAGGGAAAAAGACTGGGCTTTAAAAAAATAATAATAAAATAAAATTTAAAAAAAAAGAAAAGAATAAAATGAGAAGACTCTGCATGGATTAGGAGAAAAAAAAGTGTAACAAAATCATAAAAGAAGCCAGGGCGTGCTGGTTGGGTTGGGACTGGTGGGACTTCTAATATTATAGCCTGTAGTTATCTTTCAGGTCTAGCACTGAACTTAGGCTAACTTAGAGTCTAATATAGACCCCCGTGTTAGACTATGGATTGAACTTAGAGTCTAACTTAGACCCCCATGTGAGACTCATTAACAATCTCAGATCCACAGGGCCGGATGAGCAAAGAAAGAGGCATGGAAACGACTCACAGGGGAGGGGTGAGGTCAGCGGTGGCACATTGAGGGGTAGCAGTGGGTGTATGGGAAAAAATGCGCATGAACCGCTGACTGTAAACCTGATGTTCTATTGTGGAAACCCCTACCTAACTCACAACAGAAAGTTTCTTGAAAAGAAGAGACAAAGATAATGAAGTGCTAAAGGGCAAGGAGGACAGGTAGGCCTGACCCAGGCCTATTTTCGGTGGTCTGCTATGCATGTGAGAGCTGGACAGTAAGTACGGACGACTGGAGGCGTGGTGCATTTGGGTTATGGTGCTGGCAAAGCATGCCGGCTGGACAAGGGTCTGCCAGAGAATAAACCCCTCCGTGCCGTGTTGGCAGAAACACAGCCAGAATGCTGCGGCCGCAGCGCGAGCATCGTGAGACGTCATCTCTCGTTCTTTGGACAGGTTATCAGGAGAGGTCAGTCCCTGGAGAGGGAGGGCATCATGCTCGGTAAAGGAGGAGGTCAGCGAAAACGAAGAAGACCCTCAACCAGATGGACCGACCACGTGGCCGCACAGTGGGCTCTGACAGGCGGCACTTTTTGAGAGGGTCCAGGCCCGGGCAGTGTTCCATTCTGCTGTGCACAGGGTTACCTTGAGTGTGAGCCAGCTCAAGGGCACCTGGCAGCAACAAGTACAGTGACCATAGGCGACGTTTAATGCCCTGGGGCTTCGATGGTCAGTCATTTCTTTGGGAATAATAGCTAGTCTCAGCACTCTAGGGATTCACCCCCATGAACTCCAGCAAGCTGCTGATGGGAGCTTTTTTTTTTTTTTTAATCAAGAGAAGGCTTGAGCTCTGTATGGGGGGGTGTTCGTCCAGGTTGACCAGAGAAACACATCCAGGGACACTCGTGAGTAATTGTATATTAAGACAACATCTCAGCCCAGTTAAGATCAAGTCCACAAGGCCAATATTAGCCTATATGTCCAATACGAGTCTATGATTTCCTCTTCAGACTCACACAGCATATGCAATGATGCCAAATGCAGGAAGCTCACCAGCCAGTGGGTGGAAAGTTTTGTGGATCCCCGGGCATCTCAGCACTGGCGTGGGTCTCCACGTGGCTCCTCCAGCTCCAGGACTCTGGCTCCATCAGCGTAGCTCCATGTGTCTTGTCAACAGGAATGTCTCGCAGGGAGAGAATGTGTCCCACCTCCAGGGAGGAAGACAGGAGTTCCCAGAATCCTCAGGAGAAAGCCATGCCCACACAGAGGTCTCATTGGCTATGACCTGATTGACAGGCTAGACCCCACCCCTTTCCTCATGTTGACAGTAGATTATGTAACTGCCATGGGGTTGACAAGGAAGCTGCAGCAAAAAGCGTGGAAAGGTGTTGAATGCCTTCTTTGGGTGTTGGTAGGTGGGCTTAAGGTGTTCAGAGCACTAAGCAGCCAGATGTCACTGTGAGGCATGTAAGAAGCGTCATTTGTAGGCCAATCTTTGATTTCTGGCAGTTCGTACAAAAGCCTTGATTTGATTTTTACAAAGCCAAGGAGTCTGAGAGAGTTTGGACAACCCCAACCTTGTGATCATAGTGCTGTTTGTCATGTGATAAGTCACCATATTGATCCGCAGGGTTGGACTTGGGGACATAAGAAAGGCCATGAATTCGAATAACACGAGGAACGGTTCATTCTCTCTGAGAATGTCCAACTCCTAGTGGAGCTTGAGGGAGGCCGGGCCTTTCTAAGTGTTAGAATGTGGCAGGGAAGTGCCAGTCTGATCCAGTTCTGTACCTTACGCGTCTGTCCGTGGCCCGACAAGAGGGATTTTGCAGGACAGAAGGCTGCCCCTCGCTTTGTCTCCATTACTCAGGCCATAGGACGGCTCCTGTGGGCAGGCCAAGGCAGGTTGAAGGCTTTCGCTGTTTTTAGGAAGTAGCCTTGACCGTCTGTCTGCCTCCTGGAGCAGCTCCCCTTCTGGACAGAGAAGTCGAAGGAGGTTTTGATGCGGTGGGGATCCCAGCTGAAGCCTCTCTCCTCCTTGCAGAACCCGTCATCATCCGCACCGATGAGGCCAGCTCTGAAATCTTGTACCCCAACTACCAAAACTGCTGGAGTCTGAAGCAAAGAACCAGGTAACGGTCTCCCCGTCCCCCTGCTCCGGACAGCCCAGCTAGGCTCACACAGCTGGTGGACAAAGGTCGGGGGAGTTATCCTTCAGGTCTGACGCCAACTGTGCAGGAGGTGAAGACCTTCTCCCGCACAGTGGCAGGCTCGTGGTGAAGGTTTGGGGAGGATGGAGCGAGCACTCCTACTGCCGTGGTGGGGGAGGTGGGGGACGAGTCTGCTGTTTGCACAGCGTTTTCCTCCCAACAGCCCAGTTCTTTCAGGCATGGCAGATGAGGCAGCAGGTTCAGTTGAAAGATGCTCCTGTCAGTCATCAAACTGCAGATCCAATAACAGCTTCCCTTCTCTTCCTTACCTTGTTGGGTCAACTTGGGGTGATGGTCCTTTTCGGTTTGGGGTGTTGCGTGGCAGCGCTAAGATATACAATATTCAGCATGTACCTTCAGACAAACATGGGGCCCCTGTTGGGCACAAGAAGAAACATACTGGGATATGGCTTGGGAAATTCGGGCTTTGACGGTAGCTCTTCTTTTTACAAGTCATTTAAGCGCATGGAGCCCACGTTTGCTCATGTGATACCGGCTTACACCAACGGGCCACTGTGAGCATTCAATGAGACCCAGCTGCTGAAGGAAGGACCGCATCGTGGTCTCTGAAGCAGAACTCAGGGTAAGGAATGCCTTCTTTGACAGACACCAGAGGCAGGCTGCCTCGTTGCTGCCGGAAATCGCAGAGGATCTGAAAAAGGTGAAGGAAGGGCTGGGCATGAGCAGTAGTGACGAAGTGGACTTCCTCAGTCTCCTGGACAATCTGTCTGCAGAGCAGGTGAGAGACCCGGGGCTGGGGGGCAGGGGTGCCTGGCTGGAGTCACACCTGTGATGGAGAGAGGGTCCTGTATTAGGGAGAGCGATGACAGGACTTGCAGAAGGATGCATGAGGGGACCAAGGGATGAAGCGCAGTCAAGGGGACTCCTCCCTCAGGAGTACTGACGTGGTGCAGCCCTACTTTGTGCTTCCCAGAATCCCCGTTGCCTTGATGTAAGTGTGCACGCTGTTGGTGGTCAGTGGCGGCGTCCCTGCCTATTGTTAGCACTTTAGGGAGAGGCTGTGTGCGCATCAGCATATCAGAAAAATCTCACATCAAACCAAAAAACGGATGCCTCTGGTTGAAGTCTATTTTCTCCAAATGCCTTTGGCCATGGCATCTGTTCCTTTCATAATAAATGCGGAAGAACACACTACAGGAAATGCTTTTCCTGGTTTGAAAGCCAGGCACCTGAAAGAGAACTGGCCTGCACCCTGCTGGGCTCTGGCGCTCCTGGTGGCAAGAGTGCGCCTGCGCTTCCGGGTGGGCAGTGCCTGCCGCTCCGCAAGCTGGCAGCCAGGCATGCCTAAGACGGGCGACAGTTTGCACAAAGTGTTTTCATGGCAGAAACTGCTTAGAAATCATGTTGGGGGGCATGAAGGCCAAGAAAAAATTAATTTATGAATAACTTGCTTTGTGTCGGGGTTTTTTTTGTCCTTATTGTCTTTAAGTTTTTAAAGATAATGCTTTCTTGGAACGCATGAGAAACCATCAGAAAGGGAAAGGGAAACGTTTTCCCTGGGCCTTGAGCTCCTAGGACTAGCTAGAGAAGGAGCTTGGGGTCAAAGCGCTTTTTTGACCCTGAACACTGGTGTCACCAGCCAGGAAAGGGCAGGCTTCATAGAAGTGGTCAGCTTCCAAGCTCAGCATTTGGAGGTGTGTCTGTGTGTCTCTGTCTCTGTTTGTCTCTGTCTCTCAAAATGGAACCTGTGACGCTCTCAGGTACACAGCCTCCCAAGCTGCCCCACCCTGAAGAGATTTGCAGGGGTGATCGAGCAGAGAGCCGTGGACACATTTCTGTACATCTTGCAAAAAGAAGACAGGTGAGGGGCTTCTTCAGCTGCTGGTAATGTCACAC